CGGCAGCTGGCTGAGCTGCTTCAGATGATGGCAGGACCTGATTAAGCAGAGTGCATCTACCAGCTGCAAGCCAGGCTGTGCAGCCAGAGACAGCAGAGGCCCAGAGTATATTGAGTTGCTGTGATGGATTATTCACCTTCTGTTCCTCCCATGTTGTGAGTATCAAGAGGATAAGAACATGGAAGGGGCACACTGACCTTTAGGTATTTTTAGCTGCAGCCACTGGAACAGCTACAGTTACAGTTCTGCACCTTTTATCCCTGCAGCACTCATCCTGTCTGTTCTGAGATGGGGCAGGGAGTGGGCTATTGGGGGAGTGGGGGTGGGAAGTGGGAACTCATTCAGAGATCTTTGAGATCTTCATAATTTCCTTCTTTGTTCTCCCCCTTATGAAGTGTTACTGGGTATGGTGCACCATGAGACCCATTGCCTCTGCAGCCTTCCCCCCTGGCCTGTGAACTCACCACTTGGTAAGGGGCTGAAGAAAAGGCAGAGGAGCCTCAGATGGTGTTGGGGTGACAATCTGAGTCACACTTTCCACTGGGTGAGAGTTGAGACAGTGCTCTGAGGTACCAGGTGGCTGGGTGACCTATAACATGAAGGCACAGCTGTCTTTGGGTGGTTGAAGCCATTCCTATTGAGAGGCTGGAACTAGAAATGCTAGAGATGCCCTGTGTTCCCAGTTACCACAGCTCTGCTGCAGAAGGGTTGGAGGAGAGGGATCCTGCTTGAATCCTGAAGCTGTAGCACCTTGCCCTCCTGCAGTGAAATGATAGGCCTGCCATGTGTGGGGTCTCTGCTCTTTTCTGCAGCGCTTTCTCTGTCTGGCAGTGGGAGATCTTTCAGGTTGGGCACTGCTGGGGATTTGGACTGTGAGGCTAAGATCACTGATTTACCTGCCTGTGTAAATGGAGGCTTTGGAAAATGCCTTTGGCTCAGATCCCATGTGCTTGAGATGGCTGTTGGTAGAGGAGATACTGAACTTCCTGTGCTGGAGCAGTGCCAGCTCCCTGGAATGAATTAGCTTTGGCTTCATCAAATTAATGGTGCATTTGCTCCTGAATGTCTCTTGGGGACATCAGCTCCAGCCCCTTCCTCAGGGCCCCAGTGCAGTGTGTGTGGCAGCTGCATTAGGCCTTTGTTGGTAGGATGGTTCTCATGCTGGGACTTGGGTCCCAAAGCTCTTGACTACATGCAGGATAGTGAGGCTGTGCCCTCAGCAGTGCTGTTCTCTTTGCTTTCAGTGGCTCCTCAGGAGACCTTTGAGATTAACTGGATCCCTCCTACCTCCTTGAAGGAGGGGATCAGTTTGTCTAGGAAGCCCCCTGAGCACTGTATGATTTTCCCATTTTAACAGCCCTGCTGAGGAGATGGCTGCTTTTCTCTTCAGTCCAAATAATCTAGATTTGCTAATGCAGTGTCTGGGGCAGGGATTGCAATGTACGAGCCTGCCAGGAATCAGGCACTCTAGTACAGAGCATGGTGTGCCTGAAACAGTAAGGAGATCCCAGGGCTCAAGGCACAGGCTGGCAAGAACCATCACTTTGAATCGCCTGTCTGTGTTCTCAACCTTTATGTTGTGCTGTTGTCATTGAATTCCCTTTGCTGTTGTCTTGCTAATCAAAAATATGTTCAGTCTCTCCCAGACCAAGCTATGTGTGCTTGCTTCAGCTGTGTGGGTGGCAATGCTCACTGTGTGGAAGAAACCTGAAGTAGTGGTTAGAGCAGTGGTAAGGTACTCTAGTCAAGGCTTAGCAGTTTATTTGCTCTGGGGCCTCAGGCTGTTTCTCCACCCATAAAATGGGTCAGATGCTCCCACCCCATTTCCTGAGGCACTTGTGTTGCTGGCTCCATGTGTGAAAAGTGCTTAGAGATCTTTGTGGAAAGAATGTGACTGCAACCTCTAACACCATCCCTTAATTGAATGAAATGGTCCCTGACATTGTCCAGGCAGGCGCACACTTCTGTGCCTGTAGGATCTGTGCCAGTGAACCAGTGCATTAATCAGTGTTGGGTCTGCAGCATCCTCATTCATTCAGATAAATGCATTAATCCCTGCATTGGCTGAGTTGGCATGGGTGTGTTGCTGGCAGGCTGTACTCACTGGGGCCTGGAGAGGATTTCTTGTGTCTGGAACACATGTATCCCCACTTCTTTCTTGGTAGCTCCTTCACACATCATGCCTTTGCCTTGCTTTTCCATGCTCTGTACCTGACCCGTTGGAAGTCCCCAAGCAGAGTGGACTATAGTGCCAAGCCTCTGCTGTTCTGAGCCCTTTGCAAGCCCTGGTGGAATGCCGTGGAGTTCAGCAGACCCAGACTGCCTCTGCCTTGGTGTGCTTGGAGTGGCAGGAAGGCTTATCTAGGCACAGAAAGGCAGAGGGGCTATTTTGGTGCCATCAGCATTCACGGAAGGGTCTGGAAATGAAACTGGCATGGTCTTGTCCTTTGCAACTGCCCCAGCACTTTAGCAGACTGGAGGGATTGGCTTTGAAAGATAACACCTGCTCTAAAATGCACAGGCTGCCTGCAAACCCCAGAGGTGTCCATTTAGCCCTTCCTCCTTCTCAGGGTAAGTTGAGTGTGACATGTGTCAGCATCTTCTGGATGAGACCCTAGAGAATAAGTCGTGTTCATGGCTATTAAAGATCCCAGAATGCTTTTTTTCAGCATGGGAACATGCAATTCCTGTTTTGTTGTGTGCTCTTATGTGATGTCCTGCACCCCAAAAGTAGCTGCAGTTCAATGGGACCACACAGATAGTATGTATGCAACACTTTGGGATGGAAATTGCTGGAGAAAATGAGATGATGGGGAGTTGTTACATTGAAATGCATGCCCTGAGAGCTGTGTTTGGTGGGCTACTCCCAAGGGTGTGGGCTACAGGCCCAGAGTGTTAGAGAGCAGGCCCCTGTGGTCCTGTATGTGGAGAGCTCCCAAAGACTCCTGCTTTGGCTGAGGAGTGTGTGCAGGATTGGGCCCTGACATTGAAGGCATCTGTGTCATCAAATACTGGCCAATATTTCCAGTTGGGTTTGAAGCCTTGGACTTCATGTGTTGCACCTGGGGAGCAATCAGCCTCTTTCCACACTCCCCAGGAGGATGTCAGCTAGACCACAACTTGGGACCAGGGTAGAAAGCATTTTCATTTATTCCTACTTCCACATTTTCTTTTGGCACAAGGTTCAGCCCTGCCCAAGGTTCCCCAGGTGTATAGATTGATCCATTTCACATCCTTTTACAGCACTAAGGAAACTTAGCAATGTCCCTAAATGCACCCAGACTATTTACCTTTTGGGTGGAGGGAGAAGGTGCATGCATCTATGTAAATGCACATTTGTATGATGGATACAAAGATGATAAACCTTGCTGGAGTAATGAATGTGACATGTTGCATGTAAGCATGTAAAACAACCAAGGGGCAGTACCTCTTAGCTAACTCACACTATTCCTCTGACTTCTTTCCTTTGTTTTATTTACTTGTGTCCCTACCAAGATTGCCAGATTTTCTGGACATGGGCACTGTATTTTTCATCTGTCCAGCTGCACAGTTGTTTGTGTCCCAGAGGAGACATGCTTGCCTTTGGGATAGGACTGAACTATCCTACAGTATGAACTATCCTATAGTATGCGGGGAGAGAATGGGTCTTTGGCTTGGGGACGGAGAAGTCCGAGGGGGCAGAAGGCGGTGGCAGAAGGGACTGCGGGGAGAGAATGGGTCTTTGGCTTGGGGAGAAGGCAGGGCAGGGCCGTGTGCCCCATGGGGGTCCGGCTTGGCTTGGTGCTCTGGCTTCCTCAGAGGATGACACAAAACTGTGGGGAGAAGTGGACATGCCGGAGAGCAGGGAACAGCTGCAAGCAGACCTGGACAGGTTAGACAAATGGGCAGAAAACAACAGAATGCAGTTCAACAAGGAGAAATGCAAAGTGCTGCACCTAGGGAGGAGAAATGTCCAGCATACCTACTGCCTAGGGAATGACCTGCTTGGTGGCACGGAAGCAGAAAGGGATCTTGGAGTCCTAGTGGACTCCAAGATGAACATGAGTCAGCACTGCGACAAAGTCATCAGAAAAGCTAATGGCACTTTATCGTGCATCAGCAGATGCATGACGAACAGATCCAAGGAGGTGATACTTCCCCTCTATCGGGCGCTGGTCAGACTGCAGTTGGACTACTGCGTGCAATTCTGGGTGCCGCACTTCAAGAGGGATGCGGATAACCTGGAGAGGGTCCAGAGAAGGGCCACTCGTAT